TATGTTATAATCCGAAATCAATACAAAAAAGAAATGACGCAACAAGTAACTAACTTTTAAAAATTAAAAAGTTCAACAAATAACACGGGCGTGTGGTCTAGTGGTATGATTCTCGCTTTGGGCGAATTCCGAGTTAAACTTGGGATACAAATCATTCAAATATGCGAGAGGCCCTGGGTTCAATTCCCAGCTCGCCCCAATTTGTTTTTTAATTATTTTTTGTTCCAACTTGAAAGAAAGATAACCAACAATTTCGTAATAATTGTTGGTTACCCATATTTTTAGAACTGCTCACATATATATATGTTCTGTAGATACTTTTTATTTGTCACTTCAAATATAAAAGACAAAGAACCCAAAGCTAGCAAGCCACTCATATATATATATGTTATATAATAAGTTAAGTGGGTATACAGACATCCATTAATAATAATACCTTGCAAATAACGAGACACTTTCCCCATTTCGAGAACAATATCAAAAATACAACTTCAATCAACACGTAATGTAAATGTGTCATTACCACATTTGATCACAGGTGACACATTTATCTATTTACTTATTTCTGTATCAGCCGAGTGTTTGTCCTAACCCTTCGAGGTCCCAGTGCCGACCAAACGAACGACGACCCTTTTTCATCGGCAAGAAAACTACGCAGCAATATATATATATAATTATATAGCAAGTCGAACTGATAGACAACGTAAACGGGGTTCTGACATCAGCAAGGTTTAGGAAGTGTCGTTAAGAGTTCTTAGTAACCCAAGGATTTGATTATATATTTTGCAATTCTGGTTTTATTTTCTTTTTTTATTTTTTATTTTTTATTTCAAATACACCTCTATCAGTAGATGTCGATACAAATGGGTTGATATCAGATATTTGCTAGCAACGCCAGTCTAAAACTATAAGCCTTGATGGAGATTAGGCAAGGACAAAATTGGACATACATGGAATACATGTAATACAATCTGAGTTATAGTCATCATCGTATACGTCGCATCTTCGAAAAACCATTCATTATCCACAAAAACGAGAGTTTCATGTAGCGCCCGATTTCTAAGCTTCCTCGCAGACAATCGTCGTATTTTACGTGTGTTTTTCTGTTTTTGTGTTTTTCGAAAGTTGTATCACACCCTCTCTTTCCGTCCCTCCGGGAGAAATACATGCACACAAAAACACATCTCTTGATTTCTTTTTTTTCATTCTTTACGACACTTTATCTTCTCGGCTCCTCCTTTTCTCTCATGTATATAAGGCAAACGGGCCTATGCTCCGTTCCGTTTCGTTTCGGCTTTTTTTGTTTTTCTTCCATTCCAGCTGCCCCCCCCCGACCTTCTCTCCCTCTCTTCCACCAAAATCAATCATATCAAAAGGCATTCGAACAGAAAGACACACAGATACACAGACAGAAAGACGTAACTCAACTTAGCCCAACTCAACTTAGCCCAACTCAACTTATTTGATACATTCAACCAGAACTCTTTATAGCAAGTACATCACTCTCTTTCTCTGCGGTACAGTTACTTCCTTATGGTGTTGGCACCTCGGGAATAGCATCAAATAAGTCTCTTAGCAATAACCTTTTGACTATTTCAGATTAAAACTGCTTAATAATTATATTACACTTTATGGTTTGTAGCATATAGCATATAACATATATTGGTTTACTATTACTATCATCATCACTGCTATACTGTACTGTATTGTATAATATTTTATTTTGTTCTAGAATAATCACATTCAAGCTTATCCACTTTATCATAGTACTATAAAGTAGAGACAGAAAGTGTTTAAATCTATCGTTTTCAGATTAGTTTTGTTTGGAATTGTGTTGGTTGAGTCTGTTGTTTGATGTCCTCTGTTGGAAGAATCTGATTCCCGTAGATTAAGGTGTTCTTTACTTTCACCTTTTGTCTTTATCATTTTTTAAACATAATATTATTCACTACTATAATTTCCAGTTCACAGTCAAGTCAGGGGAACTATATAATATTAACATATTAATATATATACCGAAATCGATTTAACCTTTGGGAAACGCAGGAAAGGTTACTACAATTCGTATTTCAATCGCATAATAATACTGCTACCACCATTACCAGTATTGATATTTACCGTGTCTCGAAGAAGAACATAGTTTCCAACTGTTTATTACATAAAAGAAAAATAAAAAACTAAGAAGAGAAGGTGAAATAAAACATTCCATATTTATTAAATCTTCGTCTTATAAGAACTGCATACAACTTTTCACAAAGAGAATTATCTACTCCAAAACTCATTGAATTCATTCAATTATGGATTTTTCATCAAAAACTTTAAAAAAAAAATCTTCAAAACTAAGGAAAGAAAGAATTTACAGCAAAGCCATCCTAATAGATACAGGTATCTTGATCACTGCTCAACCCGATAGCGACTCTTTAAAATCTACAGATTCAAGACGTTCGCATTCTCATACCCATTCAAGAACTTCCTTAAGTGATAACCATGAAGATTTAATAAATTCATCAAATTTAGATGACGACGATGATAATGATGATATTTTCGAAACTGCTTCGCTAATCAGCTGTGTCACTTGTTTAAGTGATACTTTTTCTAAAACTTCAAATACCACTACAACCACAACAACCACAGATTTGCCTTATACCTCATTGAAAGGTAAATTCCCAACTAATACAGTGATACCTTATGGAAGAATTTTACATGCCAAGTTTATCGACAGAAACAGAGATTCAAATATGGTTGGGAAAATACGAACGAAATCAAGTAGCAGAAAATTAAGAGGCTCTATTGCTTCAATAGATTTGAATCTATCTGGTGTCGAAAGTAACGGCTCTTCTAACGAAAGCTTCGCAAGACGTTCAAGTATTGAGTTGAAAGACTATGCTGTCAATAGAAGATTGAGTAATGTATCAATCGGCCATTCAATATTTGATGACGATTACGAATCAAGTACAAATTTAATAGAGATAACTTTTGCTAAACCAAGAAGACATGATGTTGTCGCTAAAAAATTATTACTAGATATTGATGATTCTTTATTAGTAGGTAATGGTATCGTGCAAGAAATTTTAGAGAGAAGTTATAGAGGTACCAAGAGGAAAAGGAAAATTTTAGTCATTATCAACCCATATGGTGGTAAAGGAAATGCCAAAAAATTATTCATGACAAAGTGTTACCCACTTTTGATCGCTAGTAGATGTACAGTAGATCTGGCATATACAAAATTCAGCGGTCATGCCATAACTTTAGCAGAAGCATTGGACATTAACAAGTACGATACAATAGCATGCGCCTCTGGGGATGGTATTCCTTATGAAGTTATCAATGGTCTTTATAGAAGGAAGGATAGAGTAGAGGCATTCAACAAACTTACCATAACTCAATTGCCATGTGGCTCCGGTAACGCAATGAGCGTATCCTGCCATTGGACTGATAATCCATCATATGCCACTTTATCATTGGTTAAATCCACAGAAACTAGAATTGATATAATGTGTTGTTCCCAACCTTCATATTACAATGAACATCCTAGATTATCTTTCTTAAGTCAAACATACGGTGTTATTGCAGAATCTGATATAAACACAGAGTTCATTAGATGGTTAGGAGCTGCAAGATTTGAAATTGGTGTTGCATTTAATATATTGCAAAGAAAAAAATATCCATGCGATATATATGTAAAATATGCTGCAAAGACCAAAAATGACGTTAAGACACATTATATGAATTATAAAAACAATGGATTACCTCCATTCGATATCGAAACAGATAATATATATTGTGCTGATGATATCCCAGAGGTAGAAATGATATCAGAAGAAAATTTCAAGCTAAGGTATCCTTTCAGTGAGGGTATTCCAGATGATTGGGAAAAGTTAGATTCTTCTGTCACTGATAATATCGGTATATTTTATACTGGTAAAATGCCATATATAGCGGCAGATACCAAATTTTTCCCTGCAGCATTACCATCTGATGGTGTAATGGAAATGGTTATTACAGATGGTAGAACTGCTGTCTCTAGAATGGTCCCAATTTTACTAGCATTAGATAAAGGTACTCATATACAGCAGCCAGAAGTATTGCATTCAAAAATATTAGCATATAAAATTGTTCCAAAAATCAAGAATACTGTTTTTGCAGTTGATGGTGAAAAATTCCCTCTAGAACCTCTACAGGTTGAAGTTTTACCAAGATTGTGTAAAACTTTACTAAGAAATGGACGTTTCGTAGAGACAGAATTTGATACCATATGAAAAATTTCTTTGTGATTTAAGTGAGACTTTTTGATTACCTAGAGTAATTACAAGATATTTATATTCCATCTTCCAATAAGTTTAAAGACATTCAATTATAATTATTAATTGTATCCATTATTAAATATACAGTTATTAAATTTATGTTTAATCTTTATTATATAAACATATTAATATAGTGAATAATGATAATTGCATTTTTTTAAAAAAAAACTAATAGTTTTAAGTCCATATTAATCCAACCTTCTGTGGTATCAAGTAACCAATATATACATATTAGATCATTATTTTTTAGAAATTAATTATTCTTATACATTACAATTTTGTACTAAATGTCGAATAAGATTACTAATAATATTAACATTACCGAATTCATTTTTAAGTTATTTTATTGATTTCTTAACATTGACAACTACTTTGTTGTAATTCATCATTTGTAGTAATATCAATAATTCCAGTCTTTTTTGTATTGTCACTATTTTCAGTTTCATCCAATGGAGTTGATTCAGAATTTTGAAATTCTGGTAAGGATTTTGCAATTTTTTTAAATAGATTTTTAACATTGTAACCTGCCTTTGTTGAAGTTTCCATAAATATTTTGGCACCCAATTCCTTTGCCTTTTTTTCACCATCTTCGGTAGATACTTGTCTTTCATCAGTAAGATCACTTTTATTACCAACGACACATAATATCACATTGTCTTCACCCCTTTCGTTTTTAACATCCTCTATCCACTTGTCAATACAATCGAATGACTTTTTCTTTGTTATATCATACACAACAATCGCTACTCTAGAGTCTCTAATATAAGATGGGATTAATGATCTGAATCTTTCTTGACCTGCAGTATCCCAAAGTTGTAATCTGATTGTTTTATCATCTAGATACATCGTCTTGGAAAGAAAATCGATACCGATTGTGGCTTGATAGTGGTCATCGAAAGTGTCATACATGAATCTAGTAATCAAAGATGTTTTACCAACACCTTGTTCTCCTAAAAAGACAATCTTATATTTTGTCAATGATTTATTAGGTCTACTCATTTTGCTACCGATATATTTGCGTTTATTATTCTTATTATTACTATGGATTCTTCCCAAAAACCACAGACCCTATGAATTGAGTTACACTTTCAAACAATGAATAAAAAAGATGGATTCCTATACTTCTATTTCCTAGGAACAGTCTTAATATTAGAACGGTATCTAAGGAGTCTCTCCAACAGACAATTAATTCTGACAAACGGATCCAATCTCAAAAAGATCAACTAGACCTAATATTTTAATGCCAAGCTACTTTAATTACCGACTTAACACCTCAGAAATAACAATTCTAAAGTTAATTTATCAATTATAAACTTACCAGGTAAGTTGTTCGAACAAAGTGAAATATACCAATTTTTCAAACTGTAATTATTTTTTTTCCTCAACTTCTGAGATTATTTTAATCAAAAATGAAAAACACACGTCAAATTGGGAATGATGATACCCGGGGGAGTCGAACGCGTGTCAACATTGGAAAATGGTGGTTTTTGGAAAGTCAGACTGGTTTGTTTGTTTGATTATGCTCATATAAATATGGAATAGCCGCCAATGAATAACGTTCTGTAATCAATATCAAGGTAAATACAGATGTTGGAACGTTATAAGAAGAAGGAGACAATCAGAGCAATATACATCTATCTCAAAGCTTATAGTGTGAGTCCATAAAAAATTTCAGTTCTTTGTTCACCATAAAGTCTTTGGTCTCCAAACATCTGTGTATGGTAATTTACCTTCTTTCTGGTAGTAATATTAAAGTTCGTGAGGGAAATGTGTTTAAACAGTATATATATATATATGTGTGTGTGTGTGTGTTATTTCACATATAGATAAATAATGTTTATCTAGTACCTTTAGAACACATCATGCCGATAACGTGCAAATAGCTAAAGAAACTGGCATCTAAATCATCAATCTGGTTGGCAAGTTATTTGGTTATTGGTCGAGAAGAAAGTCACAGATATATTAGAGACAATAGGGTTTTGGAGATTTCCAGTAATTTGTTTTTATTCCACCTTATTTGTAAGAGGTTGGCGGCTAATAGACATATTTAAGTGGCAACTATTCTTTTTTTTAAAAAAAAATAAGTATTTCTTACTTTTTAACAACGATGATAGTCCTAAGAACGGCAACGTTAACCATTGAGGAACAGTAGAGTTGCGAACTTTGTTGATGAGATGGTAGAGGTATTAAATAACTGCCCAGAGCCTGTGAAGAATGACAGTTCGACTTTAAAAGAAAACTCTTCCAGGAACAATGAAACCTTCAGCAAACTAAAGACTAAAATCCTAAAAGAAACAAACGAGACTTTGGAGATACTCCAAGAGAGTTTTGGCCTTGGGTCTACTGAATTTAGCCAAATGTCTTCATCACAGAAGTTACTTAAACCATTGAGTCTAAGTAACTCGTTAAATGTTAAAGAGCCTGTAAATTGTGCTGTTGGCAAGAAGAGGACAATAAAGAAGAAAATCAAGAAACCGCAGTCCAGGAACATCGTCGTCTCCACTATATTTGGAAAGAAAGAGTTGATTAAGAGGAATGAGTCGAAAAGTGTTACTTTAAATGAGTATAAATTTACAAGTATCAACTACAATGCAAAATTAAGAAAACAAGTTTCTCCAGATTCAAATCGACACGATACCACTTTAGCAGGGGATACTGTAGAATCTCCAAATAGAATTGCAATTACGCACTCAATCCCAATTCAAGCTCCAATTCAAACGTCAATGTCAGCTCTGGCTCCCGACATTGAATTGGACACCAACGTTCACTTAAAATATTCGGAATTGATTGAAAACTTTTCAATGAAAGTTATATCTCTTCTTAACAACGAAATAGACTCAAAGTAACCTATTTAATTGGTGTTTTAAACGGTTAAGATCTCTATATTTGATGAACTTTGTCATTGTAATTGTCACTGACACCGTCATGACGACCTTTATTACATCACATGACATTTACCCTTCTTTTAAAATGGATATACAAAACACTGAGATCATCAAATACGAACATCCATTAAGCTTAAACATCAACTTTTCGACAACGTTTTGGAAAAAATTTTCATTTTATTGTTACTTACCATCGACTTCAACAAACAATCAAATCATTGATAATAAATACTATAAATGAATTAACTATTCAATTGAACTGGTTATCAATCTAGTTTGTCATTTCTAGCTTTTGCTTTATCATTCATTTATTCATTTGAAAATCCACCAAGAATATCATCTTTTTTAAACATGGATTCCAAGACCCCTGTCACTCTAGCTAAAGTTATCAAAGTCTTAGGACGTACTGGTTCTCGTGGTGGTGTTACTCAAGTTCGTGTTGAATTTTTGGATGACACTACAAGAACCATTGTCAGAAACGTCAAAGGTCCAGTTAGAGAAAATGATATTTTGGTTCTAATGGAATCTGAACGTGAAGCTCGTCGTTTGCGTTAATTAGGAAGGAATGGTTTTTCAAATTGGTACACAATTGGTGTTGTGTCACTCAATTATGCTTTTTTTTTCATTTCGATCTTAATTAATTTTACAAAACTTCTAATAATCACTAATTTTTTTTTAATTGTTGCTAATGTATAATTATTGCGATGTCTTTATTTATAAAAATTAGGGTTTACTATTTCATTATGTGTGGATTTCTGATGGGAGGTGATCTTGATTCATGGATCTTTGTTATGTGTGAGTTTGTTTATTTTGATCTGGTCAATGTAGAAAGATTAGTTATTGTCAGGATGCTGTGAGGATAAAAATTAGTTAAAATGATTGAAGTCATTATTCGACTATAATGGTTTTATCCGTCAAGTTCAGTCTTCTTTCGTCAATCGATGGATCTTTTCATTTGCAGAGCTGTAGAAAATTTATGGAACAAATTTTGAATTGTCACTAAAAGATTATACAAGTCACTCATCCTTGAAAATTCCATTTGAAATAGAATGTAACCCTTTTTATATATACTGTTAGTTTTCGTATTTAATTTAATCAATATGCTTAGTGTCTAATCGTTTCTGCTATATATATATAACTTTACATATAGTTACATCATCCTATCCTATGTATTAGTTAACATCATTAAATGATCGACGGTGTAATGTCCTCTATATCTCATGCAATCTTTAACCTTCTTGTACTTTAACTTTCCCAAATTTTCTTCGTTTGTGGGGTGAGTGTGTCAGTTCAGTATTATCTTGGGAAGTCGTTGATTCCAATTCTTCCTTTATAGGACCCGATTTAATTTCATCAGCTTCCAACTTGATATCTGGTTCCGATATACTATGTAATTCATGGTTAGGCTTTTCTAGATATTTAAGTTCATCATGATCTGCAGGGAAACAGAAATCATCTTCATTCTTAAAAGAAATAAAATCATCGTTTCCATTACTATCTTCATTACTATTCGATCTTGGTCTATGGATCAAATTTCTTTTTGCCTCTATGCCACTGAATATCCTTTTCATAGTCAAGAATTTTGTTATGTCATCGCTGTTGGTTTTCATATTATCAGCTTTAAGGTATGGCGATAATGAGGTATTACTGGAATGGAAATTTCTTAAACTTTTTGAATGTACGGAACCTGGAGGTGCCCATCTATCAATGATTTTATCACCCAATGCGTCTTTAACCCTATCGGTTAAAAATTCGATAGCATTATCCTTCTCATTGATAACTGACGCTAGATTCTTGATCTGTGTAATTGCTATCATTGAATTTTCCAATAAGAATTTATTAAATCGATTTAATATTTTGAATAGATATTTGGAGTCCATATTGAAATTTTCCAAAATCAATTGAACATCTATTGTACTTGTAATTTTCAAGCTGAACTTGATATTATGCTCTTGTGATTTAAACTCCAAAGTATCAGAATTTCCAATTCTTTCCAATATTGACGTCAATATTACATCTATAGTGTGACCTTCAAAACCTTGTTCGATACATAACTTTGTTATCTCTGAATTAGTTACCTTTGAGATCACTGGCGCATGATCTGTTGAAAGAAATACGAAGATGAACCCCAGGTTTTTCAATTGAACCACATTTATAAACCAAATACAATCATCTAAATTACACTTAACCCAGTTATCAACACAGACATCGCCATCTTCATCTAATAGATCTCTAAAAGCTTCAACCAACATTTTTGTTTCTAATTATAGAATATAATTTATTTCACTATTTGGTAATATTATTCGTCTATCTAAAACTGGTCCATATTATAAAACAGGATCATGATACCAACTGTAGAATAGATTACTTATCTTTATCACCTACACCTACAGACATCCATAAATAAAGCAAACAGACTTTCCATCACATTTACCTGTCTCTATGTTCTCATTGACTAACTAGATCAACTTTTATAATATTCTTCGCAATGGCTCAATTATCGCATATTTAAAAATTTAATATATTAGTAAAGAATAGCATCGATGATGTTAGTTTGAAACAAAATCTAATTAATGAAGTATTAACTAGATACAATTCTTTATATATATTGTCTTCTCAGTATATTGTTCATCCATTGTTGCCATTTGTAATTGAATCATGGAGAACAGCAACGTGACAAATATCGAATATATTGTTAATGCCAATGACTCTTCTGTAACTGATGGATGTGGTAAGAAGAGAAGAAGAAAAGTCATCAAATCATGTACATTTTGTCGTAAGAGAAAGCTAAAATGTGATCATGGTAGACCTATGTGTAATCAATGCTCTTCAAGGGAATTACCTGAATGTATCTATACAGAAGGTTTTAATTTTCAAATAACGACGAAGGAGTTATTCGATAATAGTCCAAATATCGAATTGATTCAAAAAATCAAAGAGTTGGAATCTAAAGTTATTAGTTCTAACGATTCAGATGTTTCATCGAATAGTTCTGTAATTGGTAGAGGTAGTGGTGATTTAAATGCTCGGAGTTTTATGAATAAAATTGGTAATATCAGTTCTGAATTCGCTTCTAATTCAAATTCCAATGCTAGTCCTAACTCTGATTCTCGTGATGTCAAAAGTGATCCTTTGAAAGAGTTACGTTGGTTAACTGTTCAAGAAGGCAGAACTACAATATTTGGTCCTACTTCCTGGAGAACTGTTGTGGAATGTTCAAATGAAATTTTTAAGACTGAATACTCCAGAATTTGGGAAGCCATTAAACCAGAAAAGAGAAAATGGAAGGTTCAACATAATATACCTACAATTTTACCAGAAATAAGGTGTATTGCATCGCCAATGGTAAATTGTAGTGGTGCATCATTCCTTTCTCTAATGTGTCAAGAACTTCCTCCGTATGAAGTAATTTTAGAGTGTATTACAGAATTTTTTGAAAGTTCTATACATGATATATTAGGTATTCTAGATGAGAATAAAGTTAGACGTGACTTTTTGGAATGTGTTGTATCGATTGATCCAATCACCAAGAAAGTAGACATGATGCCTGCAGATGGTGACAACCTTTACAAAATAGGGATTGTTGTGCTGATGATTTATTTTGCTTATTTCAAAGAAAATATACCTGATATAGTAGATAGATTCCTAGCATGTTTATCTGGTTTACTGAACCCCAAGTTGAATTACATAGAGAGAGCTCAGTTTTTGTTGTTGAGCTACTTTGGTAAAATTTATATTGCCCAGGATAGCTTTGACGGTTCATTAAATTCTGATTTAGTTGCAGGGTTGTGTCATGTTGCAGTAACGTTAGGTATTTCTGATGTAGAATGGTGGTATAAGCAACAAGACCCAGCTAAAGTTGGCCCAAAAGAAAACATAAGACATTTATGGTATTGGATATTATACGCTGACGTTTCAATATCGTTTGATATGGGAAAACCGTTGTCAATTACCGAAGAACATTTTGATAGTTCGTTATTAGAAGACAATGATTCTGACTCGGACCCAGAAATTATTCCTTCACTGACATCGATAAGTGAAATTGATCGTGCTGTCACTGCAAAGAGTAGGAGATGTAAAATGATAAAAAACTTTCTTGCAATTGCACGTCGTTCGATTGATGGTATCAATTGTAGGTCCAAAGAGGCTAATATCGAGAGTTGTATTAATGAATTGATAGCATTTACTGATAAATCCTTTTTACCTTTAAAATGTTATACAAACGAAGAAATGATATGTGTGGTTGATAAATTTGATATTATCATTTTATCATCGATAATTGGGATGTTAATTAACTTTCACAGTCTTTTGTGTTTAACGAGGCATACCCTTACAACAATACGGAGTAATGGGTTGTTATAATATTGTAAGATTGGTATTACCCTTTGTATTAACACTATTTTGCAAACCTATAATGGAATATAAATTTTATTCAAAAGTACAAGCACCGATGGAAAAAATTCCTCAATTTTAAAGCCAAGAGAACCCAATTTAAACATGGCAATCCTACTTTCTCAATCATTGTTAATGAGAGTGTTGACCGAAACATACAGTTTTTTTTTCTTGAAGTTGGCACTTTTTGAAAAGGATTCATTGTACATCGAAGAACAACTTGATGCATTTGATGACAGACTTGACTCCATCAAGATCCCTTCAGATACAATTCTAACAGTGAAAGGTTCTGTCAAGAAGTTCAACAGTATAATTGATAAACTGAAAGATCCAAAACATGATGAGTTATTGGAGTTACTTTCGAAATCATATCCTTTAACAATGTCATTAGCCATTGAAAGCGTCAGTAGAAAATTATTTTTGAAAGGGTGTGTATTAAGAGAAGAAACTGTTAATGAAATGAAACTTGAAAAGAGAGGTCCAGATGCAGTTTCACAAGACATGCTTACAGAAATAACTAATGCTTTCTGGTCAAATTACGAATCTCAAGTAAAGCATGTATGGTCAGGGTCCATGCCGGAGTTATATTCAGATTTCCATTTTTCCCAATGAGTTATGATCCCTGATGCCATGCATGCACCTTTTCAATCCAAAAATCGTGTTATAACTACATTCAGATTGCCGGTAGGACGACATTTCACTCCCTTATTGGAAGATGTTTACAATTATTCTGTTATATATATATATATATATATTTTCTTCTTTTTTTTTTTCTTTTTTTTTGATTTTCTTTTTAATTCAAACACTATTATATTTATATGTAATAATAAATATTTTGGATAACATACAATTTATCAAATTAATCGAACCCATCCTATAATTACTACCCATCAAAAACTCCATCTCATCTCATCTCCTTGATAATTATTCACTTATTCAGTATTTTCTTATTATCATGAAAAATTCTGGCTCTCGCGGTTTAGTCACTACACCTTTAAATTTGAATTAATAAAAAAGAACTTTAAAGCTTTATAGACAAGAGAAGATTCTAATACAGTTTGAAGGTTTGAAGGTTTGATATATTTACAGTTGCAGCAGGCTGAGCGATACTCTCATAAGGTAGGTAAGAGCTCTTTTTGTATTTAGTTTGTTAGCTGTTATTTCCCGTTTAAAAAGAAGTACTTTGTCTCCTTCCATTTTTCATTGAAAAGTCTAGACATTAAAGGTATTTGGTTATCTGGTTGAATTTTGATATTAATAATATTTAGTATACGATAGAGAGGTGAAAGTACAAGTCATTATGCCTATTGTGATGAATAGAGATACTGGTAATAAAGTTGAAAAGAAGAAGAGGAAGAAAAAGATTAAATCATGTTTGTTTTGTAGGAAGAGAAAACTACGTTGTGGTCAAGAAAAACCAATGTGTTCTACTTGTCAAACTCGAGGGTTTGCTACCTGTGAGTATTTAGTTGCAGATAGTCCAGATTCCTCAAAAGCTGGAACTTCTCCGGGAAGCAATAAAAGTCCATCCAGTGTACAATCATCAAATACAAAATATAATGGTATTCAGGATAGTATCATTTCCGATAATAGCCCTGCATCTATTCAAACTAATAGTTTAGAAGAAGGAGATTTGAAACAGGTTAAAAAGGATAGCTCTGTTGTTAGAAATAGAGTAAAATTGTCTACCTACAGAAATAATGCTAAAGCGAATGGCGAAGCTATAGAGGAACAAAACCCGTTGAGTACTTTATCCTATGTCCAGATTAAAAAGGATGCAAGGTGTCTAAAATGTGGTCCAACTTCTGTTAAAACTTTTATTTACAAGGCTAATTGGAATAATATGCAGGGATATTATGAAAAGTTATGGAGCAAAGTTCAAGAGGCAAGACGTAAATGGAAAAAAATTCATGATTTTACAATGTTAAAAGAATTGAAGTTGGTTGAAAGACCACTAGAATACGACACAGTGTATTTATTGGAAGCAGTATGTCATGACTTACCACCTTATGATGTGATTATAGAATGTATCGATAGATTTTTCCAAATGTCAGATATTTACCCTTACAATAATGTTCTTGATAAGAACAAAATTATGTCTGATTTTTATAGGGAATTTAGTCCTGGTATTCAAACTTCAAAAGATGAAATACGACGTGTCCAGTCATTATCTCTAAACAGAGTATTCAATGTCTATAAGATTGGTGTCATCGTAATGATCTTATGTTTAACACATTATTATGAAAGTGTTCCAATGTCCATTGATATATTCATAACGTATTTATCCGGATTATCCACTTCAAAGGTTTTCTTTGTAGAAAGAGTGCAGTTCTTCTTATTCAGATTTTTCTATGTCCCAATGTATCGTTCATGCGGTGGTGATTATTCCCATTGTGTAAACTTATCTTCCGCATTATGTACATCAGCATTGTGTATTGGTTTAAACGATGACATTGATGTAACGTTCAAGGGAAGGGAAAATGAGGTAGGAAGGCTGGATACATTGAAAGCACTATGGTTATGGGTTATGTATGCAGACTTTGTTGTAGCCTCCCATTTAGGCAAAGATTTAATGGTGCCATTAAATTCATTCGATGACATCGATTTCTTAGACTTATATGAAAGCGAAGGCAATTCGAAAACTTTATTAGGATGTTTAATTAGATTTCTAAGGTTAACAAGGCCTATGATGCATGAAGTCATGAGTAGAAGAGGGAAGCCTGACCTAATTGAATATACATCCCAACTAATTAATTTTATTGAAACAGAATTTCCACCTTTAGAGTACTACACAGACGCTCAGATGATAGATAAAGTTCCACTTGATACATTATCATTTATCTCACTCTGCATATTTTTAATAGTAACATTTTCAGGACTGAGATGTCTTGCATTAGGTGAGCAATCACTAAATTTGAAAAATCAAACTATCAAAACTTGTTTAACAGCATTTTCATTAGGAACAAATATTGCAAATAGGGCTTACCAATTAGATAAGGAGAAATTTCCAGAGGTAGTATACACGGATTGTAACAATTTCCCACCTCATTTAGCCTACTGTATTGGAAGTTGTGGCACGTCGTTAGGAAGGTCATTGTCTCTATTTTTCACTCTTTGTTATCAAAAAATGACATTATTCTCTTCAGGATTTATATTTTGTCAACAAGATATGGAAAGTGAAATTGATTTGACCACTTTACAAGGTCCTGATGATAAATCTTTATCATTCATAGCATCATTTGATGCATTTTCAAGGATTTTTCAAACTTGGGCTAAACCAGTGGATGAAAATTTTAAATCTGTACTTTACAGATCCAATACTTTAATCATTATGACTACTTTGGAGAGACTTTGTAGTATGATTTTGGTAAAAGTTAAAGAGTGCAGAACTAAGACAGAAAATGATTGGATAACGCATAATCAAAATAATATACTTGATGTTTTAATGAATGAGAATGACGAACCAAATCCTAGAATCCCTGAACCAACTAATGAAAATCTAATTGAATCATTCACACAATATGGTAAACTAGAAGATTTTGCAAATTCTCTTTCTGATGAATTTTGGGAAAATTATTTTTCACATTGGGAAGAATATCTAAATGGAAATACCATTGATGAACTATTTGAGGATATATCACACGTCCCATGAAATAGGGAACTACATTAAAATTTCGACGGATTTTTGTTGTTGTTTTATTGTCCTATTAAACTTGCATTCTCATAGACCTTTAGTCATCTTACCCATTATTTTTTCAACATTTTTTTTAATATATTAATAGATTTAGATTTTTACCTACTATTTGATAGTGTCGGAGTGAAAACACAGCAAAGATACAAGTATATATATATATATCAAATAGATGGCACCGAAATAGTAAATTCACGTTAAAGTAAATAGTTGTTTATTATATATTACATATAAATTATTTGTTATAGACCAATGAATAGTTATTATGTCGTTTAGTCGTATTTCATTGATTATCATGTTTTGCTAAAAATTTTGAATTCACTAGAAGGAGAATAATATGGTCATACTATTTTGGATAATAGCTTGGTACCACTTCTTGATATCATGTTTTGGTAGTTTATGACAGTCAATGATAAACAGAAACATATATATATAATCTTCATTGATATATGTAACTCATCGCCATTATGGTAGCGAGATTCTAATATCGTCGTATTAAAGAGAATTTAGAAGTCGGGTAACAGCAAAGTGTCTGGTTTATCAAAATTGTTGAAATTTGTTAGAAATGACGTTTCGTGTCTTTAACTGAAGCCAGCCTTTAAGCAGTTGTAAGAACAATATACAATCCATATATATAAAAGGTATTGATCAGTTTTTTAATAGTTGTATAGTTGTATTATAAGTTATTGGAAGGTTTTTATTGTTTTGTAAGTTTGTGAATTGACTGGAATTGATTATTTGAATTTACTTGTGAGTTAATTGGATTCAGATCTCTGTTTTGGAGTGTTTATTTTTTTCTGCGTTATACAAAGAGAAAACTTATAGATATATATTATACGTTGAAGCACTGGGATATTTATACGTATATTTATTTATATATATATATTTACAGAACACGTTAGGGATAAGATAAATATACAATGATTAAATCTACTTTGCTATATCGAGAAGATGGGTTGCCATTATGTACATCTGTAGACGATGATTCTGATCCATCATTGGGAGAACAAAAGAAGAGAATTAAGATGTTGTTATCTAGAATGACACCACAATCAGCAACAGAAGCATCCATTGAAAGTGGGAATTATGAGATTCATTATATAAATGCTGCTTCAGTTTTATATTTTGTGATTTGTGAACGTGGATATCCAAGAAATTTGGCATTTTCTTATCTAAGTGATGTTCAGCAAGAATTTCAACATTCATATTACAATGAGTATATGAAACCAAATATTAGACCATATGCCTTTGTAAGTTTTGATAATTTCTTAAACAAGACAAAGAAAGCATATGCTGATAAAAAAGTCCAAGATAATTTAGATCAATTGAATCAAGAATTAGTTGGTGTTAAACAAATTATGTCGAAGAATATTGAAGATTTATTGTACAGAGGTGATTCATTGGATAAAATGAGCGATATGAGTGCAACATTAAAGGAAAGTTCTAAAAAATACAGAAAATCAGCTCAAAAGATTAACTTGGAATTATTAATCAGTCAGTATGCACCAATTGCCATGCTTGGGTTTTTATTCGTCTTCTTGATTTGGTGGGTATTTTTAAGGTAGATATTGGATATCTATAGAGAATATTAACAACGACACCAAGTGAAATGTAAGCAAGTCCATTTATATATATATGTATGTATGTATATACTAAATAAATCAAACGGAATGAAATAAAATAGAATAAAGTTGGCAGCAATTGTGTTCTTTCCTAAAAATAAACACAATGCCTCCATAAACGCTTATCCATAACGTCAGAAGCCATGGATTTTAAATTAATAATAAACGAAAGCCCTATTTTTGAATAATCCGTTGAAGAAAAGAAGTACCTGAAATACATCAGAAAATTTGCCATTTCCTCCTTTCCCAAAATTCAGCAAGTTCCTACAAACTAAGCCACCTTTTCAAACAAAAAGGTTGCCTCCAAACCGACCATAAAAAAATATAACGCCAATATTTTCTGAGGTTTTCTTTATTACACCCTTCTTTCAAAAACACTGCAATCAAGAGTCAATTGTGGTAACAGAAAAACAAATTCCCTTGGTAATGGAGAGAAAACAGAAATTGCCTTAACCCTC